CCACAGCCCCAGGAAGAGGACACAATCTAGGACATAGAAAGGCCAGCATGCTTCCCCAGAACGTGGCACAGCTTTAACTTTGGCGCAGAGAGACCAAGTTGGACTTCCAACCTATACAAATCTAATTATGTTTGCTTAATTAAATTTATGATAACGTGCTACAGCAATGACATGGTCAGCTAACAAGAGATTTCACGGAAGATGGGATTCCTGGCAGGAGGAACACAGAGTGCAATGACCTAGAGTCCTGGTCTCCTGGGCTCATCCCTTACCTGCCACAGGTCCTGATCTCTGTTCATCGTGTGCTGCCCTTGCCCGCTGGAATCACGGCTGTCTGTGTAGACCATGCTGGCTTCAAACTTGCAGCAATCCTCCTGCCTCTGCCTCCCCTCTCACCATCATATCTGGCCAGGCTTACAGATTAAAGAATGAAGTAGGTAAACCTTAGAAGTGCAGAAAATTATACAGGTGGCCTTATGGATTTATTACATGGATGGTCAAAGTACAAACGTGTTGTCAATCAAGTACCCGGAATGCTCCTCCCATGCAATTGTCATGTTTCTCTCTGCACTCTGCACCACAGAGCTGCCTGTCGCTTGTCATAAATTACCCAGGCACATAAATGTGGAGAAGTGGACATGCCCAGCCTCAAGAGACACAGGCCTGGTGTTCTTTGTTGCTGTGACCCTTCTGGTTCCATCTTTATCTCCATTTCAAGTCTAGGCCTCAGGACAGTTCTCTCCCATCCGCAACAGATTGCCGTTGAGAAAGACTAAAGATCCCCTGTCTAAACGTGGAATTGACAGCAGATGCATCCAGCCTTCTCTGAAGGGCGCTGGAAGCCCCTGCTGACTCAGCTTTTCCTGAGTCCTTCCTCTATACCCTTCTCAGCAGCTCAGGACTATGCATGAAGGACTCAGTACAGAGGACAGTTGTGACCACTGGGCTCTCCCACCACGGACTGGAGCTGTTTGTGCTCCTGCAAAAACTCACCACTGACCCCAGTGTACAGAGGGAATGAGGACCTGTAATATCCTCTTCTAGGTTCAATACTCTCAGACCCCCGCACCAACACCTCCACATAAACTGATGGATAGGCATTATACTAACATTCACGTAAAACAAAAGCAAAATTAAGCTCATAGCAGTGAAGCAGTGGACTTTTAATGGAAAAGGGCAAACTACCCCTCAGACATCTGGTAACACTGAAAATCACTGTAGCCTTCTGAGGTTGTATCAAACAAGATGTGATCATAAAACCTTTAGCAAACTCAACTTTGTAAAACAGCCCCAAGTGGACAGGACAAAGGTAAGAAAAGACACTTTGAACAAAGGTGTTTTTCACAGTCACTATGTTCAGCCCAGCCCTGCTGACTAAGGACTGCCTCACAGCATGCAAGCACGTGGAGCGCCTGTTCTAAGCAGTCATCCTCAGTGCTACTGACATTTGGGGATCAGCATCTTTAGGGTTAAGGGTGAGGCTGACTGCCCTGCAGCCCACGAGATGCCAGTGCACAACTCCCAGTCACGACAGTCAACGCTCCTGGCATGGCTCCTCTGTCTGACATTGGAGGTGTGAGGGCAATCCCACCCTGGTCGAGAACAATCCGTTCAAATGACAACAGCGGCCAACTCTCCACAGGGTTGGGTAGAAGACAGGAAGTGATAAGGGCTGGGGGACCCTGAGTGTGTGCCCTTCTCCAGGAGGCAGGCACTCAACTAGAAAACCAGAAATATATCCTGGTTTTTGGGTTTGTATCTACCATGTGTGTGTGATGTATGTCCACGTGTGTGCAGGTATGTGTGCCCATGCATGTGGCTAGAAGTCTGAGAGGGAGATTAGATGTCCTCTGTTACTGCTCTTTTATTCCCTTGAGACAGGGTCTCTCACTGGGTGTGGAGCCAGGCTGGAGACTAGCATGCCCTAGGAACCCTCCTGTCTCCAGCCCCTGCATCCCTGAGGTTACAGGCACACATGGTGACACCCAGCTCTTTATGTGGGTGCTGGGGACTTGAACCCAGGTCCTCACACTTGTTCAACAATCACTCTTACCTACTAAGCTTCCTCCCAGTCCCTAGACTTCCCTTTTTTTTAATTTAGCAGCCAGTTCAGAGTTAAAACAGTGATGTCCGAGTCTTACCCAGGAGCAGATGTCCACAGACCTTCGGCAAGGGGGAGAGGGGAAAAACCATAGGCTCCACAGTCCTAAGTCTCTGCCAGTTACTGAAGTTGCTTTTGGATGGGTGGGTGGTGGAAGCAGCCACAGATGATATGTAAGTGAAGTATGGTTAGCCCCCTCCTCCAGTAAGCTTCATTTGCAAGCACTGAAATTTTAATTTTATATACTTTCACATCATAAAATAATCTTCCATTGATTTTTGTTTTCAACCATTTAAAAATGCCCACACCACTATTAGCTTATTATAACTCTATACAAACAGCACCAAGATTGGTCTGAGACCCTTGGGCCACAAGCTACCTAGCCATGTGCTGTACCTAAGAGCTGGATGGAAAGGGGGTGGGCTGGAGCCAGTGCCTGGGCACACGCTGCAAACATGGGAGGGATCCTCACTGCGATTCCTTTCTCACTCCTCCCTTGTGGGGTCTAGGACTGCAGCTCCTCATGGTACTGCCTCCTGGGATGCAGTGCCTGTGGCTTCTATTGTTTAAAAACAGACTAACTGCTCTACCATTCTTTGTTTTCTATTGTTGTAAATGAAAGACCATCAGTAGCATTAACCTAGCTGTTGGCACGGTTCCCAGGGTCCCGGAAAGCTCTTTATCATGAATTCCATCATTTCTTACTGAGTTTGCCACTTAGTGACTTCCCGAGTCCTCCCAGCATCCCTTCTCTTTGATGGTAAAGAGAGAAAGCACAGATGGCCTTCTCTGTGCACGGAGGGAGTCACCCCCCATGCTGAGAGTGGACACACGTGGTGCTTTGATCCAGGAGAGGAGACCAGCGTGGCTTCTGAGCCTGCATCCTGTGATTCCACCTGGAAAACTCAGTGTGCAAGGAAAACCAGCTGTCCCTGGAGCTGCCTCTGCTGGGACCACCCTGAAGCCCACCTGGAACAGCACAGAGCCTTCAGCAATCCTGCTCACCAAAGGTAAATGTGGGGCAGGCACAAGGAGACTGGGAAGGAAAGACAGCAGTGAAAAGAAATGGAGCAGGAGGCCACTCAGAGAGCCTGGGAAGCGTGGAAGGGGGACTGGAGGTAAACCAGGAAGACTAGAGTGAGACAGAGGAGGGGGGCAGGACAGCAGGGCCAAAGGCACCAAGATGCTGGGGCATCAGTAATGTAGCAGGGGAGGCAGAAGGCATCTCCTGTGTGTGTATGTTTGTGTGTGTGTGTGTGTGTGTGTGTGTATATGTGTGTATGTGTGTGTGTCTGTGTGTGTATGTGTGTATGTGTGTGTATGTGTGTGTGTCTGTGTGTGTGTATGTGTGTATGTGTGTGTGTCTGTGTGTCTGTGTGTATGTGTGTGTGTGTGTGTGTGCGCGCGCACGCGCGCGCTCCCACCCACCCCAACCCACTGTTCATGGGCTTTAGATTCAAAAGCCTCGCCGAGTCTTTTTCCCATGACCCCTTTGAGACTGCCAGCTCCACTAACCTCCCTCCCACAGGGTCTGGGAGAGGAGGTGTGGGAGTGTCCCTGGTTATCCCTCCCCAGGCCAAGATGGAAGGCCCAGCCAGCCTCCCCAGTCAGAGATTCCCAGGAGACAGGTAACTAAGCAGGGCTACACAGCAGGGAGGGAACAGGGCAGCCCTGGGGTCAAATGGCCCTTTTGTTAAGTCACTTTCCAACAAGACAAGGGACAGGGGGGTGGTCTCCAAAGTGAGAGTCCCAGCTCCCTCATGTCTCTCCCTGATTTCCTGATCTATAAACAGTCACTGTATAAACCAGGGACAAGGAGAAGGGTTGGAGAAAACTACAGCCATTGAGACAGGGACTCCCATTTTAAATGGTTATGGAGGGAGGGAGCCTTGACCTCCTGTGCCCATAGTAAGACTGCAACCAAGAAGTGGCTGATGATCCAACAGGGCAGAGTCCATTGATCAAACCGTGTGGGGACAGACAAATGACTCTAGACTTCCAGTGCAGTCCTGCAAATGCCACCCTCCTGACCATCCTCAGACGCAGTCCCAGGGAGGACTGGGGAGGCCAAGCCTTGACAGGAAAATTGGTGTGTCATTATCTCGAAATCTCAGGGTCTTAGGCTAGAGATTGTTTCTAGTTAGAGGAAAGTAAGACAATGCATTTGCACACCTGAATTGATGGTTTACGAAATTTATATCTGCAATCCAAGCACTGCCTACTCAGTCTTCTAGGCTTGCTGGATGTATATGACTACACCTCCTGTCACTCACTTGTTACCTAGCCCGCTGTGATTTTCCCAGGCTCCCAGTGACCTGGCCGACTGTACACAGCCACACAGTTCCCCAGGATAAACAAATACACCCGGCGACTCCTCCCACTTGAGACAAGCTCTGTGCTTGGCTATAGCAAAGGCGCAATGGTCCTCAGGACACAGCAGTAGAGTCCTGAGCACTACATGTTCCCTGATTGTGCGTGGCTGGAAGGGACCTTTTAGGGTCTACTTAGTAAGTCCTCCTGGGCCCCATGCCAGTGTGAGGGGTGGTGTCTCTAAGCAAAAGTCACGGCAATGTTTGGTGCCTTCTACTAGCAGGAATAGCACAGACAGAAGAGCAGCAAGAGCTGAGAAATGGCTCACAGAGCAGACAGACCTGTTACCTAGCCCACTGACCTGTCTTTCCGGAGAGTTCTCAAATTTCTTGATGTGCCAGCAGTCAATGTGTAATGAACTTGGGGTGGATGGGATGGGTAGAGCACTTGCCTAGCACAAACAAGACCCTTTGGGTTTAACCACCAGGGTTGCAAAAATAAAAAACTAAATGTAAGTTGGTGATGAAGGGTCCCCGGAAGAGCATGGATGAAGACCCTTGGGAGGGAGGAAGGGCTGAGGAGCCTGGCAAACTTTTAGGAATCCACTCTACTTCCTGGCTTCTGAGAAATCGCTCAGGGACAGAGTGGGGAAGGTGGAGATCAAGTTCCCAACAGAATCAGGTACCAAGGAAACAACTGTCCCGGAACCTTGAGGGCGGCTTTGGCAATGGCAGGGGCAACTTGGTTCCTGGGAATAAGACTAGACAAGTTCATCTCAGGGGTCCCTGCTCCAAAGCTGGGTCCTTCTCTGGAAGTCATCATCTCAAGGGGCCTGGGTGAGAGTGCTCAGAAGAAAGTCACTACTTTTCCCTGTAGAGGACTCCCTTCTTCCCGGCACCAGTTGATATCTGTGTCACCAAATTCCAGGCAGCTTAGCAGCAGAATGAACGGGGAGGGGCCAAACAGGGCTTCTGGAAGTCTCAGTGTCTTTTCTAGGGAAGGGATCCATTCAGTCGCAGAGGGCCTCACATCACAGTGGCACTCAGATTTCTCTCTTGGTATGCTCTGGGATGTTTTCATGCACCAGAAACTCCCTGGTCGTCACTGAATTCTTCAGATATGGATTCGGAGCAGGCTCCTCACAGAGAGACTCTGGTTCCGGACTCTGGTCGGAAGACAGAGGCTGCTCATTGAATTCTGTGTATGTCTCTTCTGTCATTCCCAAACACTGGCTGTGGGAGTCTCCAGGAGCAACCTCAGTTAAAACTGGGGACTCCTTAAAACTTTCCCCGGGGGGACAGTCAGGCCTAGACGGAGAGGTCACATACTCATTCGCCTCTCCTCCCAAAATGCTCTCCTGACCTTTTCTAGCTTCCTCTGTGGAAATGACTTCCAGAAAATTCTCGAAGTTTACCACCAGCTTGTCAATGAGGTCAGCGGGGACAGAATGTGGTTTTAAGGCCCTGTCTTCCGTGTTCCCAGAGTTTTCAGACTCCTTCGGACTTGACCTCCCCTAAAAAAGGCAAGGGGACACCCAGGAGTCATACAAGGCGTGCACATGGCAGAGTTGAATCATTAGATTTGGGACTCAGAAGCCCACACACAGTCCCACACCCCTCACTGGTCCAGATGATGACCCACCAGTCACTTCCTCAGGGGCTTGGCAACAGTGCTCCATTTCCTGAGGAGCAGTGCCCGAGGGCCCACAATCCTAGAGAGCTCAAGACTCGCCACAACACCCCAGGAAGGTGAGAACCCTTAGGGAAAATCATAAAGGCAGACACCACCACCAGGACATGGAAGGCCACCTCACAACAGGGCAGGGCTCTGTCATCTTTGTCTCCTGCTGCAATGAATCAGTACATGTTGTAGGGGCCTGGCCTGGTCACTATGCAAAGTACATGTCACCAACTTAATAAAAAGGAGAGCAAAGAGGCCAATATATAACACAAGTGAAGAAAAGGAGGTAGCAAAAATAGTTCATTATTACAAAAACGCCCTTAAAAAACAAATTCCAAATTAAAAAAGCAGAAGACTAACATTTTAAATTCTTGTATCAAGGAAAATCTGCAAAAGAACGTTTAGTGATAAAGATTTACGAGCTATAGTTCACTGGGCTGATTTACACTTAAGGGGGAAATTCATAATTTAGACAGTTTTTCAGGTTTCCTGGTTAAAAACGTACTTAGGAGGAGGATTTCTACTTGGAAAAATACACCAGGAAACCCTATTGCCAATTAAATAATATCTGACTCTACCTCCCGCCATTGGAAAGCTGCCTTTGGATTGCCATTTCCCCCAGTATCCCTGGCCCCCAGGGTAATGTGCTCCTGGCTGTTCTTTACATGGCCACAGAGCTGACAGTCAGGTCCTCTCACTTTGCATCACACAGCTGAGTCTGTGAAACAGTCCCTCTTCTGTGGCCTCCTTCCAGGATGACTCGGTGATAGGAACTCCTCAGGCCCTGCCGATGCCCTTGCTTTAGTTCAGAGTGCGAGGCGGAAGTCGCAGTCATCAGTCTGCCCCTTTCAGCTGTTCCTGGGTCCTCCACACTTCAGTTCTTTCACTGTGAACCCTGAGAAAAGCCTCTCCCACTCCCATCTACCCGTTCCACCTCCCTAGCCAGCCTCACAGTTTCCTGGACAAATCCCAGCAGCGAGTACCTTGAAATCATCCCCGATCCAGGTAGCTAAACTGCTTTCAGCAGGGTTGGGAACATCAGGACAACACAGATGAGTCAACCTGCTATTGAAAGATGAGATTTTAGACAGGGAGGTTATCTCAGGGCATAATCCCTGTGTAGCATGTGGCTGAGCTAAGGGCAAAGCTTACTAAAGGCAGCAGTGTGACTCAACATTCAAGAAGAGTGTGGTTATTTGAATTAGAATGGTCCCCATAGGCTCATATGGTTGAATACCTGGACCCCAGTTGTGGAACTGCTTGGGAAGGATTAGGAGCTGTGTCCTTGTAGAAGGAGGTGTGCTATTGGGGGCAGGCCTTGAGGTTTCAGAAGCCCACCCTTCTGTCTCATATGGCTGTATCTCAAGATGTGAGCACTCAGCTACTGCTCTGGAGCCAATCCGGCCTCCTTGCTGACATGCTCCGTACTGTGACCATCATGAACTCTGAGCCTCTGAAACTGTAAGTCTTAAATAAAAAGTTTTTAAGTTTCCTTAATATAGTGTCTTTTCATAGCTGTAGAAAATAAAAGATAGAAGGCAACTGTAAAGCTCTCTATTCAGTACAAGTAAGATTCCACACTCTTGCCTGACAGGAAATATGAAGCATTTGTCTGTGGAACAACACTAAAGAAGATGCATACTTTCCCCATGGAATTATATCCTTACCTTCCATTCTCCATCACCCCTGTATCTCTACCCTGGTCCTGATGTTATATCCTTACCTTCCATTCTCCATCACCCCTGTATCGCTACCCTGGTCCTGATGTTATATCCTTACCTTCCATTCTCCATCACCCCTGTATTGCTACCCTGGTCCTGATGTTATATCCTTACCTTCCATTCTCCATCACCCCTGTATCGCTACCCTGGTCCTGATGTTATATCCTTACCTTCCATTCTCCATCGCCCCTGTATCTCTACCCTGGTCCTGATGTTAGAAACTGCATTACAGTCTCTCTTGGCAAATATATTCTTGGGAACAGTTAATACACTAACTACCCACACTTCCTCATAGTGGGTCCCAAAGTATGTTCCCAACTTTAACACCAACATCACCAGCTAATCAAAACCCAGATTCCCAGTCTTTATCCCAGAACTCTGAGTCAGAAGCCCTTGGGGCAGGACCTAATTTTGACATGTGCCAAAATTAAAGATGACTACTTAAGAGCATGATGTACAAAAATGTGTGCTGTGACTTGGCTGCTCCATACTGTTGGTAATTGAGGTTGACATTAGCTTAATCATGAATGAATCACAGCTGCTGGACTGAGAAAGCTCACAGGGGCAGTGTAGAGTTGCCTAAGCTGGTTAACTGGGTAAGAACCCAGGCCCAATTCCAGGGATCAGTCTCCTCTCCACACTAGCCTCAAGTGATAGACATCCTCAGACAGAGCCTATGGGGCAACTGGTACTCCTTGACCTCAGAGGAATCTAGGCTTAGTGTACGGATCTGTACAAATGTGTCTTCGTGTTTGTCAGAGTACTGATGAGTCTGAGGGTATGGCCTTTAATCATTTCCACAAAGAAGAACCAAATGAATGAAAGAATGAACCCCCCCTCGGGGAGGAGTACTCTCTGACACCACAATGCCTTCTACTGCTTTTTGCTGCTCATTTTTAAGGCATCCATTGTCAATTATAAACTCACTTTGGCTTTTTGAGACCCGAAGTCACTGTGAAGATGCTAAGCAGAAGAAGGCCTCCTCCAATCAGAGATGTTAGGAGGATAATTTCCAGGACACCTTTGCAACAAGAGAACAAAATACCATTGTCAATATAGTGACCCAACTCATTGACAAAAATCAAATACAAAAACTTAATTTTGTACTGTTTTTCAGATAGGATCTCATTGTATAGCCCAACCTAGCCTGACTTCTCTGTGTAGGCTGATCTAGCCTTACACTTCACATCTGCCTCTGCCTCCTGAGTGCTAAGGGTGGCGTGCAGCACCATGCTTGGCTAGATATGATCACAGGAAAGAGCCTGCCCTGTACAACTATGGAGAAAAGTGCTCCCGGGAGATGCACCAGCTTTGGAGAGGGAGCAAGTTAGGGAAACAGAGGCAGGAAGTAAAAGGAAATGAGGTAAGGGGCGGCCAGTGACTGCTGGGCTTTCCATGGGGACTCTAAGATTTAAACTGTGACTGCTGTGTCTGAGTGGCTTATCAAGGGCTGAGAGGGAGTGAGTTAGGGACGCTGGCTACTCTTGTAGAGGACCCAGGTCTAGCTCTCAGAACCCCAGACTGTAACTTCAGTTCCCGGCGATGTGAACTCTTCAGACCCATGAGGTCTGTGGTCCACATAAGTTCACTCAGCTACACACACACACACAAATTAATAATAATAAACTTTCAGAGGAAAAAGGTGGCTTGAAGAGGATTCAGAACAGAAGTGGAGTGGTCTATAATTTAATCTGGAAACCAAGGAGAGAAATTCTGGGTTCCAACACAGGATCCTGCTTTTCAATTCGATCCTGAGGGAAAATTCCATGACCTGTCCTAACTTGTATCCAGTGCTCTGAAAATACAACAGGATTGTTTTAAACATTTTTCAAAAGCAGTATCAAAGAGAATTCCAGGAAGCATCACTAGCCCACAGAACAGCACATGTTTTCTGTGTAAACCACATGCTCTGCCCAGTTTCCAGAGCCACGAGTCTACTTTATCCTCTCGGCATATAAATAACAAGAGGACTCGGAGATGCCTCAGGAAGACATGATTTTGGCTTGTACTAGTTATTGCAAAATTTGACAGTATCACTTGTTTTTTTGTTTTTTCCAGTGTTTTGAGACAGGGTCCTTCTGTGTAGCCCTGGCTGTCAAGGAAGTCGCTGTGTAGACCAGGCTTTTCCCTTCTTTTCCCTTCACCTAGCACGTATACACTGCTTTTCCATTAAATGTCTCCCTTAGCCAGCCACCATATGAAACTACTGTATTTTACATTATTTGTTACATCTAGTAAATTCTTCTTGCTCTCCACGTTTTCAATGTAGAAGCTAGTAAGTTGAACACGCACATCTTTTTGCTAAAAACCCCACAGATGGTGACATTAAGTCTCTTCCTGTTCATCAGTGACCTTTGATCATCCAACTATTCCTTCCAAGGTCCTATTGCACAACTCCTGACATTTAGAAACTGGTGAGTGTGAGGTAGGATCACAGTCTGTCATGGAACTACTTATGGCCGAGGCTGAAGTTGGTGTTGATTACTCTCCCAAAGGTTATTTGGGGCTGTCTATCAGGAAGGAGGGGCAAAGTGACCCTTCTGTCTAACTCAGCCGATGTGCCTGCCCCTCTGTGATCCTTATTGTCCATCTTCCAGGGAGGTGATGGAGCCAGAGAGAACACAGACTTCACACCCTCCTGCAGGCTGAAGCCTTCCCTGCTGCTCTTGGCATTTCCAACCCAATGTAAACTCCATGAGGCCTGAAGCTAGAACTCACTGATTGATGAGGTCCTGAAGTTTATTGTCTCCCCACGGGTTCCCCCAGCTCCAGTGTTGGCCACAACCCAAACAGTATATGAGGTCCTTCGTGTCAGGAGCTCCAGGTCATACTGCAGGACATGGGAGTTCACTGTCTTTGCTGAAGGGAGAAATAGAAGCTGAACAGTACAGCAAGCCAAACTGAGAATGTGCATCAATTCTGAACCTCAAAGCCCTGACCTGTGAGCCTAGCCGGCCCTCTTTCAACTTCTGCTTAAAATAAGTCCCTCAAGATGGACCAAAGACCTAAATATAAGAGCTAAAAATACAAATCTCTTCAAAAGCCAAAGTAAATCAAACAATCACAACTTTGAATTGTTTTTAAAATAGGGTAACCAAAACACAAGCAACTCTATAAGACAATATTAATCTGAACTTCATTAAAATTAAAGAGCTTTTATTCATCAAAAGAAAGTGTAAGACTTAACTACAAAATTGAAGAAAATATTTGTAAGTTATATATTTAATAAGGAGCTTATACTCGCAATATAAAGAACTCATAACTTAAAAACCACAAAGACAACCCAATGTTAAAAGGGGTGAAGAAGTAAAGAGGACATTCCTCTGAAGACAACAGACAGGTGGCCAACAATTGCACAGAGGGTTGCTTGACATCTTTAGTGACTAGGGGAAAAACAGTTTCCTAAATGAGATACCTTGGACCCACATGCTGTCAGATTTATTTATTTTATTTTGCAGTGAACTCAAAGCTTCGTGCATGTAAAAGAAGGACTTGGACTATGAGCTGCCCCCTCAGGCCTGATCAGATTGAAATAATCTGAATATGCAATCGATGGACACAGTCTGGCAGTTACCAGAGGCTGTGGGAGGAGGGGAATGTGGAGTGACTGATTAGAGAATACAGAGCTTCCATATGGAGAGGGAAGGTGATGGCTACACAATGTGGTAAATGTTAAGCCCTTAAAATGTTTAGTGCTAAATTTTGTATTATGTATGCTCTACCATAACAAAATCAAATTTAGCCTAAATGGGAATCCAAGCATAGTCCAGAACTTACAGTGTCAGAAGATGCTGTGGACTCAAGAATAAAGTATCCAGGACAATGGGCAGTAGAACTCATGCTTAAAGAACTACTCAGCAAGGCAAGTACCACCCAACTAGGCCTGTCCTCACATATGAACCCACTCATTAAGCTGGGAAGATCCCGCCAGAAATAATGGGCATCAAAGTCTGAGGGGGTGAGTCAAACCATTCCATGATGGAGCAGGAAAAATCACTTCAACGCCTCCCATCCCTCTTCAGAACTCTTGCCAACATTTTCTTTTAAATTTTGTCAACTCATGAGGCGGTACTCTTGACTCTACTTTCAGAGGGGTACAAAGAAGCTAAGTACTTGTGTAAGGCTACATACAGGTCACAGTCCTGGACGCCGCCCCTGTGTCAGGTCTAGTCACATCATCTGGGGGGAGGGGTTGGTGCATTTTGCTTAACTTGAGAGCACTTACAGAATTCTTTTCCACCTTCAGCTTGGTAAAATACAGTGTAGTTGTTGATAAATCCATTTCTACTACTCTTGGGAATCTCTTGCCATACGATTGTGGCTGACTTCAGACCGATGTTCTCCACCCTGGTCTCAGGACCTCTTGATGGAGCTTCAGAGGACAGGAATATAGAAAACCAAGGCTGAATCACACCCTGGAAGATCCACCCTGGCCCCAGAGTTGCTACCATTGTTCAAGCAAGACCCATGATGCTGGGGGTAGGATAAAGTGGGTGAATGGGGGGCAGGATTGTAGACATTGTTTGTTTTCAGTCAGGCATCTTATATAAGACAAGGAATTTCAAAACCCCAAGAAAATGTACTTTCTTATAGATCACCCATTCTAATTAGCACCCAGCTCCCATTCCCATCTGTAAAGCATAGTTATCATCAGCTGAAGACTAACCTCCCTGGTCAAACTTTATATAGCAGGAGATAGTTCCCAGTTGTTGAATCTAGAAGATGTTAATTTCAAAAAGATGAAATAAAGTCTGAGTAATATATCATGAGTCCATGCTCATTGTTTCATAAAAGTCATTTGGGAAGCTGCAAGACAGCCCAGGTGGTAAAGCACTTGCCACGCAAGCGTGAGGTCCATGTACAAAGTTGATCATGGTGACCTATGCTTAATATCAGAGCTGAAGGTGTGGGACAGGCAGATCTCTGGGGACTGCTGGACAGCCAGCCTAGACTAATAGGCAAGGCCTAGATCCCAGAGAGACATCCTTAAAAAATAAACCAGGTGGATGACTCCTGAGGAATGACAATTGAGACTGACATCTGGCCCCCATACATATGCACCAAGACACACACGACCAACATGCATGCACACACATGCACACACTCACAGAGAATCATATTTAATGTGTATGATGAACTTGGTAGGCTTTCTGAATGGATCTTAATGAATGCTAACTTTGATTACAGCCCTAACTGCTGTTTTGTTGGGACATTAGTCAAGGAGTTTCACCTCTGTGAAGTCCCATTTCCCATTGGTAAAGTGAAAGTGGGACATGACTGCATTTGTTGAACTCTTCATATCTATCCACCTTTGAAATCTAGTGACTCTATAACCTGGGCCCATGTGTGTCAAACACACACCGTTGAAGGTAAAGATTAAGGTGTTACAGAAATGGACTTTAAGACGACCCAGCACATGAAATTATAGAAGCATGGGGAGGGGGACCACACATACCTTTTTCTTTGGCATAAGCTTGGATTGTATATGGCTGCCCCACGTGTTGTCCCAACACTGGATACACTGATATATTATAGCATATGAAAGGCTGTAATTCATCTTGAGGACAGAGGGGGTGGGATGGAGAGAGAGAACAAGAGCTGCGTAAGTACACATAATGGCAGATAGAGAAGATGGAGGACTGAGCTGTGACCTAGGACCTAAAGAAGACAGTCTGTGTCCTAGGTAAGATGGTCTCTAACGTCTACTCTTGTTCTAAACCTAACTAAATGGAGGACAATCCTAATAAAATTACAGCTCCATCGTGATCAGGAGAAAAGCCAGTCATTCCTCCTCCATCACTGATTTTGTCATATGATTCGGGCACACGCTGAATAAAATTTAGCCCTTCTGACAACAGCATATACTCAAATACCTGAATTCTAGCTCCTCTACCTGCCTGTGTTCCTTCATAAGGCCTTTCCCTTTTTGGTTTTGGAGAAAAAGTCTCATGATATAGCCCAGGCTATCATTAAACTCAAGATCCTCCTAACCCTAACTCTAACCCTTAGCCTCCTCCAGAGGACTGGGATTGTTGCTACAAACCGCTATGCCTGGCTAGTAGATTTCTTACTATTGATTCCATTAAGTCCTAGGAAACAGTTGGAGTGGCGAGACTTCAAAGGCAAAGCTTGTCTTATATCTTACATGGGGAATGGGCTTTCTTGAAATAAAATCCTATTTACTCTGTCAATCACAAAGGAAGAGGCTTAACTCTTAAATAGAATGGAGTTCTGAGGTTGGACAAATGGTACCCTAAGTCTGGTGTTACCCCAGGATAGTCAAAGCTCTCCTCAGGTAAGTGTATTCATGAACTCACAGCAGCTGTGGCTGCTTGCACAAGATCACACCAGTCAGCATTTCCATCGTGACTTGGGGAGGACCCACCCCTAGCTGAGGCACCATTATGGACAGCTCTTGGCTGACAACCAAGGAAGAGTTAGCTTTCTTTAAGGGTCTATCCCCCACCCCCCAGTAGGTCAACCACTGTCCAGTGGATAACCACATACCTATGCCTGTATGGGCAGCACTAATTACAGTCAGTGGGTTATTAAAAAAACAAAAGGAAAAAAAGAAGGGAGGAACAGGAAGTTGGGAGGGGTGAGGGAAGTGGGGAGTGGATCTGGGAGGAGTCAGAGGGAGGAGTTAGGCTAGATTGGGCAAAATGCATTGTACGTTCACATGAAATTATCAGACTCAATTATTTCAAAAAGCCTTCCTTTGCTATGTCACATTATGATCAGCGCTGACAGGGTGACTAGTGAACATCATTATTTCCTGTGTCTCCATCAACAGGTGTGGATAAGACTGTGTTTACTTCTGTGTCAGCTTCTCCTGGGAAATGATGAGAACCATGGCGGTACCTCAACTTCCCCCGGGCTGTCCTCCTATCTGCAGCTTTTAGAAAGAACTTAAAAGTGGATTTAAATGAGACCAAGATGAAGCCTGGTGCCGGCTACCTTGCTCAATGGTCCAGTTTGTGGCCTGAGACACGGATTCCCAGGAAAGGGCGGAGAGCTTTGCCTCCGCGGTTTCTGGGAGCCACTCCACCATCCAAGTGTCCACCTCTGGGATGGAGCTCTCCCACTCCAGCACCAGCAGGGGCTCAGCAAGGTAGGCCTGCATGCTTTCGATGCACTCGATGGCTAAAGGGAGAGAAAGGACCAGTTCACCGCTGCCACACTCAGCCCAGAGGTACCAGCCCCACTGGCATCCAGCGTCGCCACATTGCGAGATCTCCATGGTAGCTTTTACCGCTTTGTTTACATCCTTTTTCCTTTTCTTTACCAAAATACCTCTGATGAGTCGATGACTTCTTAATCTGAGTTTGCCTTCCCCCAAAATAAGCGGTTTCCAGAAACAGACCTCACTAGTGAGCTAGAACCTGAAAGGCCTTATGTCCCATGCATTCTCCCCAAGTCAAAACCTCCTCCAGCAGCCGCGGAAACCTATTTTCATCTCTAAAAGCCCATGCGTTCCTTTACCAAACTGGCTCTGTATTTGAGATTCCAACTGCCACTCCTGGATGTAAGCCAGGCAATTTGTCTACCTGTAAGGGTAGTTCTGAGAAAAGCAAGGCTTAAGGGTGTGAAGCTGAGGCAGAGGCAGAGCCAGAACCAGGGTGAGAAGTACAGAGTCTGGACATCATTGCCACCTCTTCCACAGGACTCCTGCTTCTCCTCCCCTGCCTCCCCCACCTTCCCACCTTCCCCTGTCTCCCCCTGCCTCCCCCTGCCTCCCCCTGTCTCCCCCTGCCTCCCCCTGCCTCCCCCTGTCTCCCCCTGCCTCCCCCTACCTTCACCTGCCTTTCCCTGCCCACATCTGTTATGAGTCAATGAGTATCCTCCAGAATGATATCCCCAGTGCTGCGGAAAATGACTATGTGGAAATGGGACCACGTAGATGTGATGTGGATGGTAGGTCCTGCATCCATCGTAACTGATGTCCTTATGAGAAAGGGAGAGTTAGGGGAGGGCAAGGTCCTGAAGGCAGCTCAGTCAGTGAAGGGCTTAAGACATAAGCATGGGGAACTGAGTTTGATCCCAATACCTGGGGAGACAGAGACAGAGACAGGGGAATCTCTAAAGCTACTCGGTTAGCTGGCCTAGTCAAGCTGGGGAGCTCCAATATCAATGATTGAACCTGTCTCTTCACTGCTGGGATGACTTAGCAGTAAAGAGAGCATGTCACTCTCGCAGAAGACTGGAGTTGGGTTCCCAGCACCCATATTGGGTGTTCACAAGTGCCTGAAACTTCAGCTCCAAGGATATCAAATGCCTCTGTCCTCCATAGGCACCTCCACTCACATGTACATACCTACATACAGACACACACATATACACATAGTTAAAAATAATAAAAATAAATCTAGGAGGGTGTGGTGGTGTGTGCCTTTAATGCCAGCACTTGGGAGACAGAGGCAGGAGGGTCTTCTTTGAGGCCTGCTTGGTCTACAGAACATTTCAATATAGCCAAGGTGACACAGAGAGACCCTGCTCACGAGTGTGCATGCACACACACAACCTTAAAAAATAAAATGGAGAGCAATTAAAGAAGATATCTGCCTCTGGCCTTCACATGTGCACACAAAGTAACATGCACAGAAACACATACAAAAGAAAGAAAGAGAGAGAGGGAGGGAGGGAAAGGAAGGAAGGAAAAAAGGAAGGAAAGAAGGAAGAAGAGAAGGAGGAAGGGAAATTGGAGCTGTCCCAAGCCAGAGCCTAGGCCATAAGAAGCAGGAAAGATAAAGGAGGGGCCTCCTCTAGGGGCTCTGGGGTAGCATGGTCCAGTGTACTAGTTGCCTTTTATACCCCTAGGCTCCAGAACCACAGAACAATGTGTTCCTGTTGTTTTAAGCGGCTCAGTTGGTGGTAAGACAGTAAGGTAGTCCCTTGGCATAATTAGCCTGTCTTCCACTTCCTCCTCTGATCTCCTGGAGGCAATATCTTAACAAGTGACTTGGCACGGCACCGTGCCCTGAAGATGAATGAGCATGGCTTCCAAACCTTACACTCTTCCTGCTAACCAATCCTGGAGCTCAGAAAGACCAGGAGAGCCAGGTTTAAGGTGCCAGGTATGAGGCTGAGGAGGAGACATGGGAGGTTGGAAAGGAGTCAAGAAACTATGAGTTGGTCATGCAACAGGAGATGCCTGGCTCATTAGGGAGTGCTGAGAGACAGGTTTCTAAGTCATCCTACAGAATAAAGACTGATTGCCAGCTCCCTCTTCCTCATCAAGAGCACCATGATCACCTGCTCCCGACATAACACACCCCAGAGTAACAGGAAAACAAATCAGGTGTATTCTGAAAGAGCTCCAGTCTACACCCCTCTTAAAGAGGTTAGATAGCTTGCCCAATTATATGGTACCTTGTGGAAGAGCAAAGATTCGAACCCAGGGCTGCTAGACTCCAGGGACCATGCTTCCATGCCCTGTTCTCTATTGTGTCCCATTATGGAGCCATGGTGGGAACTGGGGTGATCACTTCTGGCAGCACTTCCATTTAACAAAGCATACTTACTCCAGTCGCACGTCACTTGTTGGAAATATCACTGGACTCCTAGACACTGGAACAAAGATGTGCACGACCAAGTGGGGGCATGGTGGCGCACACCCTTAATCCCAGCACTCAGGCTTAAGAAGAGAAGGGGGAAGGACAGGCAGAAAAGTCTAGAGCTAGTTGTACAAATGCCTGAACCAGGCTGGGCTAAGCAAACAGAGGTATCAATTGGAGAGAACAGTTCTTAGATGTCTATGCCAGCTGCTATTTGGCATGTCAGAAATTATACTTTTAAAAAAGAAACAAACAAATAAAATCTGGCAAATGAACAAACAAAACCCTGCCCTCTGGGCCCACTCTCAAGAGTAGTTGGGTAACACCAACTAGACTGGGAGTGGGGAGGGAGAAACAGAGAAGAAGAAAACTTTATTGTGGGGGTAAGGAGATGGGGGAGAGGGTGGATCTAGGAGGAAGTAGGAAAAGGAGATTAATGTGGTAAAATATATCATAGGGCATTCTCAAGAATTAATAAAAATATTATTTAAAAAATTACTGCCCTCATGAGGTATGCATCCTCTTGAAGGGGAAAATGTTGGGAGGGAGGGAGGGAGAGAGGGAGGGAGGGGAGAGGGAGGGAGGGAGGGGCTGTACTAAGTTCAACTGAGGAAGTAGAAACCGAGGAAGAGAAGCTCCAGGTGCAGAAGACAAGTTTGAAATACAAATCCCAAAGTGAGGAGGCTGAGAAGGAAGCTCGGTGAGTGCTTGCTATACAAGTATGAGGGACTGGGTTTGGATCCTGGGCACCTATGTAAAAGGCAGGCATAGCAGAACATGTCTGCAATCAGACAGGAGGGCCTCAGGGAGTTTCCTGCTGGCAATTTGATCAGTCGTGAGCTCTGTGTTCAGTGAGAGACCCTATCCCCAAAATAATGTGGAGAGGGATAGAGGAAAGTATCAACCTCTGGCCTCCATGGTGGTGTGCACTCATACACTCATATGTGTGCAAGCTCACACACACACATCCACATGCATGCACGAATCTACTCACCTTCGACATAGTGCTCATTCTCTCACACACAAGCCAACAAGGCTTTTTATTCCAAAACAGAAAATAAGGCTTTGCTGCTTTGCCTGGGTTCTGTAGAATGTTCAGAACTACTCATCTAAAGAGTAGATGCCAGGTGTGGTGGCTGGTGTCAGCAATGCCATCATTCATGAGGCTGAAGCAGAGTGGTCTGTAAGTTAGAGGCCAGCTACTGAGTGAGATCTTGTCTCAAAAAAATTACCAAGCAACTTACTGGCAAGTCTGCACACACATATACAGTTTTCCTAGCTGGGCCATCAAATGGAAAGGGAAAGGAGAAAATGGAGAGTGAGCACCGAGCCATAGCTGGGACCGAGTGCCACCTGGGAAGAAGCGAGTTCAGGAGAGGACACAGTCACTGAGGACATAGGTCTCAAATATGACTGTTTTATGTGGCTCAACCCCGCACCCTACCATTTGGACCAGAACCAACAAAAGCAGTGGGTAGAGCTCCTAGGCTGTCACTGTGCTGTGCGACTCAGTCCCCAAATTCTTAGCACAGACTTTGCTCCAAGAGGAACAACTACCCCAAGGACACGGACTGCTCCTTCTTCAACCAGATGAGACTAGACACTTGAGAAAGGGGTACTTACTCTCCTCATGAGCAGCTGGGATCCTCAGGGTGGCCTCTTGGGACTTCCCAAGAGAATTAAAAGAAGTCACAGACACACAGTGTGTCTGGCCCGTCAGAAGTAGTTCATACCACTGCTTAGTGACGTTTATCTCTGTGAGGTTGGTGCTATTTTCTGGAAAGTACTGTATGTTGTAGCCAAATGTTCTCTCCAAGACTGGGGCTCCTTTAGCCTTCTGTATCCAAAGAAAACAAAGGTAATTTCCAATACCAGAAAGAGAAAAAGGCACAGAGACAGTGATAAATGGAGTGATGTCAGCCATCAGATGCTAAGCTATGTTTTCAGGTCATTACCTGTCCAACACAAATAAAATTTGTGTGGTGATGTCAACCCTTCAAATGCCAGAATAGATTATTTACCAAATGGTTCCTTGGTATCAACTCTTAACATGAGTTAAACTTCATGGATCCAAACTGGTATTAGCAAACCATGTCTACTTTCTTCTCTGTCCTTCATTCCATCATGCACAGGCAGAGGTATAAACGCTAAAAAGTGAAGGCATTCCCTTCTGGACCAAAATCAAGTTCAGCAGTCATCAAGGGTGGGTGAGTAGCTGTGTCTTTATCTTTTACTCCCATAGTTCCTCTTCTACAGAGGGAAGATGGCTGTCCTAGACCAAGCATCCACCTAGGTAATCCAGCTAAAAGGACCAAGATATTCAGGACTTCCCTGTCAGTCCCCTTAGCAGGAAGCCAACATGCAAGCCCAGAATCTCTGACTCAAATTCTTATTTCTAGTTTTGAACTTAGACCCACTGACCAGATGTTTTCCTGGAAGCATATGGGATATTTCCTGGGAATTATGGGGACTACAAGTTTTTTGGTACTTATTACAAACATCATGGAGCAGAATGAGTGGGTGTGTGGTCAGCTAGTGTTTTAATTCACTTTGACCCAGAGTCATCACAGTCCAGGAATTTCCCTTTCATTGACCACAACAATAAAAGACCAGCTAGAAATTATCAATGATGAGGGTCCCCCTGTTTCTCAAGACAACGCCATATCTTTCCTCTATATCTTTTGCTGACATGGAGCTCATATTTTATAAACTTTGTTGGGCTTTATTTGTCTGTTCATTTTCAGTGTGGGGAATCATGCCCACCCCCTTACCAATGCTAACCAAACACACCCCCACCCACTGAGCCTATTATCTTCACTGGTTATATGTGTACAAGTCAAAGATTTTCAAGACAGTCATAAAGTCTCACAACCTTTACCACTATTAGACTTTGCTAAGTAAGTTGAATTCTTAGAAAACCCTCTCCAACTGATGAGGCAGGCAGAAAAGTCTGGTCACTTATTCCCAGGCTGGCCTCTTGACTCCTACCTACCACAGTATAGCTAAGACCTTGCAAGGGTACGCATCATTGCTCGCTTACTCCCCTAAGATGTGTGAACAGTCATCTCTTACCACATTTCACTGACTGCATCTCAGATTAGTATCAAAGATTTCCCAGCATCCCTGGCTGTGCTTTCCTGTGCCCATGCCTCTGCCACCTAAGGATGTACCAGAGCAGTGTCAGCCTGAAATAATTGGTTTTGGATGTCACTCACCAAGTCAGGGTGATATCTCCATTTAAGAATATTTAAGTTGCCAAACTTTAGCAAACAGATGACATACTTGAGTTCTAACAGCTTTTTCTTCCTCACCTTTTCTTGTTCCTGTCAACCTCCCATTTTTCTTTTCTGCTTCCTGTAGCTTTTCTTCTATCTGCCCTTCCTTTCCTGTTTACCTCTCCACTTTCCTTTTCTGTCCCTCCCCCCTTTTCTCTTCTTATTAGTTCCTCCTCCCCCCTCTTCCCTGTATCACCTACCACCTTCCCCCCCCTCCAGGTTTTCACCATAGAAAGGATCATCTGACCACTCTTCTGCCTTTGCACACCTAACTATTCTAGTACTTAAAGGAACACACATATCAAATGTGTTGGCAGTATCAGATGACCCCAGTCAGTGCTCTTCTTGGGTATAAGGATGAGGCTTCCGGAAATCTTATACTGTAGTCTAGGGCATGGCAGCCAGCGTAGTTTCCCGGAGAAGGGTTCCCTGCATCCTGTAGTTGCGCTTCATAACTGCCCCAAATATTACTGATTCAGATCAAAGAGAGCCTGTGTCTGTGTACTTGGGCCATCTCCAGGGTAACCTCTGGGGCTTTCTGGCCTGCACAGCTGTGAGCTGTGAGGCAGCACAAGGAAGGGGATGCTAAGGGGTAAGACATTAAGAATCACAGTGTTTTAAGGGGAAGAGACCAAAGGATTTCTGGTTTGGTTTTGTTTTATTTTCCAGTTTTTTTTTGAGGCAGTGTTTCTCTTTGAAGCCCTGGCTGTCCTGGCGCTCGCTTTGTAGACCAGGCTGGCCTTGAACTCACAGAGATCCACCTGATTCTGCTTCCTAAATGCTGGGGTTAAAGGTGTGTGCCACCATCAAAAGTTATTAGCCAGGGGGATAAGTGTGACAAAGGGAGGTCACCTTCCACAGCAATAGCACCTTCCTCACTCCGTTCACATCTGCCGGTCCCAGGACTCTCCACAGGTCCAGGATATGTGGAACTGGAAAGAACAAGAGGAAGTTCTTGTAGCAGTAGATATTCAGTGGGCCACTGGGCAGGGCCCTTGGCAAAGAGATGCTTGAGGGGACAAATAAGGCAGAGAGGAAGGAATCAGCCTTGCAATGCCCAGCAAAGTCTTCATTTTGTGGCTAACTAGAAATGACCACATTTCAAAATAAAACTGCTCTTGTTCTGATAATTTAGTAATAATTTAAAGGGAGGAAAGTAAAATATACTCCATTGGGATATATGTGATCCCCTAAAGCTGTGTGGAAATCTTATGTCCTCTGAGATTGGACACCTTGTATGTTACTACAGAACCGTTTCCATCTGCAATCAGACACAGATGAGTAGAAATACTAATGGCCAACGGTGGCAGTAGCTAACTTCCAGCAAGTACCACTGCACTAAGTGTCTTCCCTGGATGAGAGCATGTAATTATTACAGCCACATCACTGTGGGGGTTTGACAGTGCTATCATCATAGAGAAATCAAGGAATTGCCCAATTATACAAGCTCTTAAGTAATACAGCCAGGATTTACACCCTGGATATGCAGCATATGGATAGATATTTAAACAGAACCTTTCAAATCAATAGATACAGTCCTAATAATCAATAGGTTGGGAGAAAAAAGGTAGCACTTCAACTTGGCTTACAACTTTTCAAACAATTGTAAGGTTTGAGGTTATGTGAATTAGACAACCAGCATTCCATTATGAAGAAGGGAATAGATGGCTTATGAGTTGGGAAACAAGAACTTAGGAATTTCTGGGGTATAGGTCATACAATGATCTAGCTCTGTAAGATCCCAAAACAGAACGAAGAAAAACAAAAGCAGAGGAAATCTCCATTCAGAGCCAACGCTCTCCGGGGGTGATATGTAAGTCATGATGTGGTTTAGTCAGCAAATGGCAGCCAGCTGAACTAATGAGCAGAAAAAAACAAAGTATTATGCAGACAGCAAAATAAGTTGAAGACAGTGACATGAGGACATATTGAACTGGAAGGCAGGCTGGGCTTGAGAATGAGCCATGATAGCACCATGAAAGAAAAATGGTAGCCACAGCAAGGAGATTTGGGCGAGCCATAACCACACTCTGAGTGTTATTAATCACCAAATTCCCTGGTGAAAGGTGTCACAGAGGAAGGCGACAATTTGGGCAACTACATGGGGTTCATTCTAATGTTTTTATAGGGAGAGCTCAGCTGGGACACAGCACCGACTATTCCAGCACCATTTGGCCATTTTTTACTGTGCATTTTATGTTATGTTTTACGCCTATAGTTATTTATATTGCTTGACCATTCAGAGATAATGTCTATAGAATGTATGCCAAATACATACAATTTTAATAAAAATGTATTTCTTTAATATAGCCATCATTACATGTTAGGCCTGGTACTAACACTTAAGCATGTGATTTGGATATTCCGTGGCCTCTGCTCACATTACCAGAACATGTAAGAACTGAATCTCAGATGAGAAGGGCACAATTCTCCAACTGACGCATGAAGCTATGTCTATGAAGAGAGAGTTAAGAGACTAACCCTAGCCACTACAATGAGAAATGCAAATGACAAGGTATCAGATGGGTTCCAGAATCTAACCAAAAGGTTGAATATGGCAAATATCTGATAGTTCCAAGTTTGTCTCATGGAAACTCAAGCAGGATCAGGAAGAAAAAAATCCTGGGCCATAAGTATAGAAGTTGATCCCGGAGACCAGTGTATGAATTGACTCTTTTCTTTCCCTCGCCATCATTAAAAACATGACCTATTTTCTTGTATATCACTACATTCATGTACTTAGTAGCCATTTTAAGGTTTAAGATATGTAGCTTCAAATTATCATATTATATCTTCAGAGGAAATGACACCATTTCTTCTAGAGTGTAAGAATCTCCTAAGAAGGGCTGGAGAGATGGCTCAGTGGTTAAGAGCTCTGGCTGCTATTCCAGATGTCTTGAGTTCAATTCCCAGCAACCACATCGTGGCTCACAACCATCTATAGTGGGATCTGATGTCCTCTTCTGGCATAAAGGTGTACATGCAGATAGAGCACCCAGATACATAAAATAAATATTTTTAAAAACTCTCCTAAAGAGTATGAGAGATAAGATCCTAGATTTCTGGGAACATAAAGCTGCTATAGTAACTATGCCATCTGAGGAGCACAGCTCACTCCCAGGAGCTCAGTGAACGCCATCTGCTTATGGAGAAGGGACCTGCTGACACTCTAAGACCTGGCTTCCCAAGATGAATCCCGAGCATGGCATGTGTCAAAATGCACCATGACGCACCAGGAAGCCCTACACCAGAATAAGCAGACGAGGAATAGTGGAGAGTAGCTTGCCTTCCTCCATAGTCATCCCAGTTTTTTCTTTGCTCCAGTTGCTCCAAAATCTTGACTCGCTGGTTCTGAATCGTAGAGCTATGACATATTCCGTGAAAGCCTGAAGCCCTGTGAGGTTGTAGACCAAGTCGTGATCCTCGAAATCAACTTCTGTCTGAAAGACAGAATGGACTCTGAGCAGAAATGGAGACAGCATTGCTATTTTCCTGCTTCTCCGCTTGGACCTCCGTGCTTTCTTGCTGAGACAATTATACCTATGTAAGTGTGCATCACCCCCTGAATCACTGTCATGATCTCCATTTCCTTTTTGGAAGCTTGTGTGACTGAGTGTCAGTGTCCATTGCCTTTGGAGGTACAACACAGAGCCCCACGACCCGGGGCCACCCAGTCTTTGACTTAAACTCCAAAGTGACTCTGATACTCAGAAATTTAGCCTCACATAACTCAGGGAGGGGAACAAAGATTTAAGTGGCATCAGGGTTAACCCATATATTATAGTTAAGTGACCTTGGGCAACCTCAAGGTCTGTGATCAGCAAAAGAGAGAATTCTTCACTCTTAGATTCGTTCTCTTTAGCCAAGCATCCATTTCTAATCATCGCTCTTTGGATGACCATGCAAGCTGCTAGCAATATTGGCAGCCTAGATGTATAAATTCACACTCTCTTGGGAAGATGAGAGGTTAACAAGTCCATTCCTTTCTCTCAGCATCAATTTCTCACTTGTCAAATGAAGATGCTGCATTATTGAAGCTCTGAAAGTCCCTGGTTCTAGTCCCCTAGGAGAGACTAAAAACTTAGCTTTTTGTTTCTAATCAAGTCACAGTTTCAATAATAAAACTGGTTATCTGCTGTTTACAAACCTATATTGAAACAATTAACACATTGCATTTGTAGGCTGTCCCTTCTGTTACTGTGTGCACAACACAGTGCCATAGTACTCTGCAGAAAAAGGCAGTTGTGACATTTCTCACATGCATGTGAGAGCTATGAAAGCAAATATGGAATTTTGTGTCCTGGGCCAGGTCTCCAGGAAATTGGGCAAAGGTAACAAGTGTATATCCCAGGTCCAAAGAAATACTCTTTAACACCAGGGCTGGTAAAATGGGAATGGGGGAAGGAAGTAGAACCCAGAGGCCATGGTAGTTTTGGTGACAAAGCCCATGTCCTCTAAGAGTCTCTTCTAAACAACCCAGGAAGATTCAGTGGCCATAGGCTAATGTTTTAGGGGAGCAAAACTGGGGACCCATTGTTAATGTATGAAATCCAGAGGGAGCAAAACTGGGATCATTAGAAGGGCCCATTGATTCCAGGTAGGAATGATACAGTTGGGCTTAGCTGGTCAGGAACTAGACTTGCTTGTGTTTCAAAGTTGAGAAGGGAAAGAAGGCATTGGCTATACATTCAACTTTGCTTCCTATCCCCCAGAAGAGCAGGAAGGAAGCTGCCTTACTTCAGAGTTAGGAAAGGGGGAGACAAAGACAACCTCAGAAGTAGGTGGGTTGTCAAAGGGGTGGAGGAAAGTGATGGGAGGCAAGGGTTGGAAGTAGATTTCATTTGTTCCCTTGGGGTTAATAATTTTCCAGATGGACAGACGTCCCAGTTTGCTTTTCTCAATGGATCCTATCCCAGAGGCTGTACTGACTCCAGGCTCCATGGAAGAAATCATGTGCACTTTTACTGAGACATATAAACTCACTATGATGTGAACCACATATCTTATGCAGTCTCCTAAACAACAACACACTGCCAGGCCTAACTACACAGTATCTAGGGGAGAGTCCTAGGACTGGTTAGAGAGGAAGCTGGAAGGAGTAGCCAACATCACCTCTTTGAACAAAGGAGGGCAGATAACATTTAACTAACTTGCTCTTCTGAAAGAATTTCAGACGCTAGGATATAACAGACACAGTGTGTATGCACTTATACAAGGGAAAAGGTCCTATGGCAGCTGCCTGGACAAGTTCAAAACATGGGCTGAATGTCATGGTAACTAGATACAATCATAGAGGCCTGGGAAACAAACAGCAGCCACAGAAAGAAGAGTCACTGTCCCCGAAGGTCTGCTGGTTTGCCGCCGGGCTCTGAATCAGACAAAGTTACAGAAGTTCTCAAATCTGAAGGTCTTGAACAGCAGAGAGCAAAATTTTAATGATAAGTTTTAGACAGCAGAATACAGATTCTAAACAGGCTGAAATGATGAATGAGACCAGCATGAAGAAGTCTAATGACAATTAAAAAAAACACCTGAATTTTGGTTAAGATGCAATAAATTTTGAAACAGTGAGACAGGTTTTACTAGCAAGCTTTATGAGGAAAATGGCTTTGAGATTTAATTGGCTTACTGTTGGTTACTGACCATTTCGGTAGTGTGAGGGGATCACCAAAACAGAAAGGTGATGTCATTCCCACCTCTACTGAAGGGCATGGGGACATGTCTTCTCAGCTCTGAGGTTAAAAAGATTTCTTCAAACACAAAGACCATTAAGCATAAAGCAAACGACTGATAAAAATCTAACAGTGTTAAAGTCTGTCCATTGGAGTTTATCATCACTAGAGCCAAGATAGTGAAATGTACATATAAATAAAAGATGTGAAATAGAATAGACAAAGAATACCCACAAGTCAATAAAAAACTCAAACAGAAAACAATGCAATACAGCAATACTCAAAACTTAAGTCGGCACTCTGAAGAAATCTAAATGACCAATGAACCACGAAAAGGTTGATGCAGTTTCATTCAAAGCCTGATAACTGCTAGTTAAAGCAATGATGCCTTTGCATTCATGCAATGGAACTATATGAACTGCAGCATTAACACTATATTAAAAGAACAAAGCCGAACCCAAAGAAATACAAAATGGATTGTAAGCACAGCACTCAGGAAGCTGAGGCACAGATAACTGTGACTCCTACTTGGGCTACAAAATGAGGCTCTGCCTCAAAAAGCTGAAAGGAAGTAGGAGAAGGAGAGTGGGTGGGAGGACAAGCAGGAAGGCAGGGAAGCCAGCAGGAGGGAAGGAAGTGGGCAGGAGTATAGACAGAACACATGGACTCCATGCACATTCCATTTCTACGTCTATTGAATAATCATCTCTTGAGTGATGCATTTCAGGAATCTAGGCAAACAAACAAACAAAAGGCAGAGAGATGATTGTCATGAAGAAGTAGCTAACTCTAAGGCAGTGGTTCTCAACCTCCCTAATGGTGTAACCAGTTAATACATGTTGTGGTGACCCCCAACCATAAAATTATTTCATTGCGACCTCATAAATGCTCTTTTGCTGCTGTTATGAATCATAATGTGAACACTTGTCATGCAGGATATCTGATATGCAACCCCTGTGAAAGGGTCATTTGACCCCAAAGAGGTCAAAACCCCCATGTTGAGACCCACTGCTCTAAGGGCAGGTGGCCATGAGGAATGGGTGAGGAGAAGGCTCTGGCAGACTGTGGATGCTCTGTTCCTAATTAGGGTGGATTTTATATGAATACTGACTTACCAAGAATTTCTTAGATGTAATGTATATTTTGTTCACTTAAAATGTGCTATATATTTCATAAAAGATTTAAAAAATTTAAGGTGGCCAAATCATCGTTTCTGGTGGCCAATACTGCTATTCAAAACCAGGCTATAATAAAAAAGCAAATTCCTAATTTTTCAGGCTGTCACTGTGCTCAGAATGCATATCATACAATGTGCTTCCAAGCTGAAAAACACAAATGGAAAACAGAGAAGTAGACTAGTCACTATTAATTTTTTTCTGTTTTCCATGTAAAAAGTGAAAAACACAATTCCAGGTGAACAAAAGTTGTCAGTGGGATCTTTGTTTGGGTCTCTAGTAGAATTACCATGATGCTGTAACTTACCCAGTGGGTACTGTTGACAGTCCTAAATCGAAGTGTGCACCTTAGTTGATACAAACGAAACCTTTCCCAGGGTTTCCACCGTATCTGGAACATTTTATTCGAAATTGGATTCACACTTAAAATTAGAGGTGGCTCAGTTTTCACTGAAAAACAAAAATACAGTCCTCATATTTAAAAACAGAAGATACTAACAACATCCACCCAGAGTTGAGAGCACAGTAATCCTAGAGAGCCGAGGACAGTCCATATTCTGTAGTTCATTATACACGGATTCATGAGCAAGGCAGTGGAAAGAGAATGCCAATCTCCCAAGTTCCTGTACCAAAGGAAAGAGCATCCCCAGCCAAAAGAGGATTGCTAATGGGGGAAGTCTTCTATACATATGTTTCTCTTATTGGTTGATGAATAAAACACTGTTGGATAATAGGGAAGCAAGACAGACAGGACTAGAAGACAAGGAGGATTCTGCGAAGTGTAGTAGGAGAGAAGTCACCACGTGATCCAGAGAGGAGAGGATGCATGAGTCTGGTATTCTTGGTAAGATGAGACCATGTAGAAATACATATATTAGTAGTTATGGGTTAATACTTAAGACAGAGCTAGCAATTTAAAACCCTTAGAGGAAAACACAGCAATAAATTAAGGTCAGTAATGATTTCTTTCTTAGATGCAATACCTGAAATACAAGCAACAGCAGAGAAACAAATGCATTGATTTCATCACACTTATTTTGTTGTCTAAAAAGACACCACCAAAAAGCTTAAAAGGACCGTCAGAAAATTTAATGGATCATCCAAACAAAGGGAGAAAATATGTATAAATCATCTGTTCTAAATAGAAAGAAACTTTAAAACACAATGTAGCCACCAGATGGTGGTGGTGCACACCTTTGATCCTAACACTCAGGAGGCAGAGGCAGGCGGATCTCTGTGAGTTTGAGACCAACCTGGTCTACAAGAGCTAGTTCCAGGACAGGCTCCAAAGTCACAGAGAAAACCTGCCTTGAAACACCCCCCCACCACCCCCCATTCTCCTCACCCGCTACCCCTCCCACCCCATCCCCACCCCCACCCCGCTTAAAAAAATATTCTTAATCCTATTACTTAATCCTATTACTGAATTAGTGGTGATATTTACACAACCTTGTGTATATAATAAATTCACTGAATTGCACATTTTAACACTTTGAATTTATAGTATATTAATTATATTTAAGTGAAGAAATTACTTTAAATTATATAGTAAAGAAATGACTTTTTGAAACAAGCTTGAAAGATGACAATTGGCGTCACTTTTTAAAAATAAGAGTTCCTCTTTTCCTTCATGAGCAATGATGACATGTTGGGGAGGTTTCCCATTTATTTCTCTGAGAACCATTCATGTCGCATACCGTAAAAGAGATCAATGGTCATCCAGAAACCTTGTTTATCATTCTCTTTTCTCAATGAATTCCGCATCGTCTTCCTCCTCTTCTCCCTCTCTTTCCCCTTCCCTCCCACCCCCTTCCTTCTTTAATACTACGTACCTTTTATAGGCCCACAGCATATACCTATTATTCCCTCAAACTCTGAGTCTGCATTTGAGCTCAAAGAGTCCTCCATTTTGAAAAGGAGGTCTGAGAGTAATTGTTTAGTGCCACGACATCGATGTCATCAGCCACTCACCTATGTGGTCCAAGTACCAGCTTGTGACGTCAGATTTCACTTTCCCATCTCCATTTTGAGCTTCTACTTCAATACTGCAGTTATCGGGGGGGTAAAACACACGGAGGGAAAAAAAGAATACGATGCCTTTGTAGTGTAAGCAGTGTAACTGTTTTTCCCAAAGGAGCTTTAAAAGAAAAAGGAATTCAACATCAGTTCAGTACAGACGTTTGAAAACAAAATCACACTTAAAAGTACTAAGCAGCATTTGTTAGTTTTGCTCTGGGTTTCTCAGAAGAATTGCGTGGTCCAGGATTGGGTGCATTTCTCTGCCCAGGGTACCTGCCTCCTGCCTGCCTGAGATTCTGTAAACCACACAGACCTGGAGACCCAGCAGACTACACAGCTGTGGATCCATGCCATCAGAAACAGCACACGGATTGTTGGAAGTCCAGATTACAATCAACCCTGCAGACTACATGACAACACATTCCTGTTTTAAGAAATAAAGAACAGATCGTTCAAATTGCAGGCTAGACTCACAACCAAAAATATAAGAATTCATCCTTTCAAGCCAGGCAGTGGTGGTGAACACCTTTAATCCCAGAACTCAGGAGGCAAAGGTAGGTGGATCTCTGTGAGTTCCAAGCCAGCCTGTTCTACAGGGTTTTTTCCAGGACAGCCAGAGCTGCATAGAGAAACCATCAGAGGGTTTGCTAAATAAATTATAAATATAAATGAATAATATTTAAAATTATAGCTATTAATATACTCATGGTTACTTCTAATAGGATACATAGCATGTACAGAATGATCAGTTTTTATAAAAACATACATTTATGTGATTTTTCAGAGATGCTTGGAAAGCTCTTAATAAAAACGTTGAAATTATTGCCTTTTGATGGTACAATTAAAAAACATTCAAGTGTTGCATGCTGAATTTTTAAATCTATATATCATTTAAAAAACTCACCAAGACAGATAGCTATACATACAGATAAGATGACAGATAAGAGATTGATAGATGATAAAAAGATTGGTGACAGAGGAAAGGTAGATTTGGATGAAAACGACCCCCATACGTTCAGATATTTGTATGCCTACTCCCCAGTTGATGAATCATTTGGAAAGGATTAAGAGGTGTGGCCTTACAGGCATGGGCTCTAGGAGGAGTTGTATTTGAATACTAGCTTTGTCTTCAGTAGCCTTGTGACACCAACTAGTTCCTACACCTCTCTGTGCTGAAATTTTCTGTAAAATGAGGGTGATAATGTTTGCATCGCATAGGGTCTGTGCAGCATGAACTAAGTGAAACCTCATGTGGCATTCATTCTATGGATGGAGTGTCAGTAAGTGTGGACTGTGATGGTTGTTTGTGCTGTGGTTAATGTTTGCAGGTACTCGTGCAAAACTTAAAAACTACCAGTCATGAGGCAGTCCCCATGTCCTCTCTCTTCCCCAGGGGGAAGATTTGTTCTGTTTCTTTTCTCTATGTAAATATAAAGTAGCCTTCTCTTTCAGTGTTTCAGTGCACATATTCATGAACACACACACACACACACACACACACACACACACACAGAGTCTCTGCCCCCTGCTGAGAGCACATGCAGTTCCCACACTTACTAAGTCATCCTCACGGTGTAGTTGGTGTCACCCATTTCCTCCCCTGGACTCCAAGTGCAAGTCAAATTTCTGCCAAAGTATAAAATGCAGGAAATGTTCTCGGGCTTTGCTGGCAGGACTAGGGTAAAGTCATAGAAGCACAACTTTAGTGTACAATAACCATCATTCGCACTCGATAGTTTAATTAACACCTTCCAAATGGCATTTGCTAGGTACTGCTTCCTAATCAGACTCAGGGAAAGTCTGTCACACTTCAGATATCCTCTTTGAAGAGTTAGATTTCTACTTAAAAAATATCTTTTATATTCCCAATAAAAATAAACACTTAGAAGCAAAACCTTTTGTAAATAAGCATTAGAAGCTCGTAAACTACTTGGCAAGGCATCAAATGAACTCAGAATAAGTGACTGTGATATAGACTTAAGAAAAATTTAAAAATGCATCAGTCATTTTTCCCTAAAGAAAACACGTCTTAGAATTGATGTTCCGGTAGTTCCCTACTGAACCGGAAAAACACAATGCTTCACTCTGAACAGGGATCTAGGACCCTAAGGGTTCCTAAGTAGTAGAAGTTACATATTCATAAACAGCAATGGGAGTAAATGACATCGTCAGAACATAGTCCAAGAATGGAGTTATATGAGAATCCTGAGTGCTTGTAAGAAAATTCCAGAAAACAAGACAAGCGTCTTGTGACCTCAGTTTCTTCAAAACATGGAATTGTTCTTGGAATGTGTTTTTGTGTTCCTCCTAGGTATATCAGATAGGAATGAGTTTACTTCAGATTGTTCATTACAATTGGCTATTGTTACTTGCTCATATGCCTCTATGGGAAAACATGTTTTGCCACGTGTGGCTTGTCCTTGTGACTGGACACTTTACTCAGGTGATTCTTCTTAACCCTCAGAGTATAAATTATCTGATGCTCTGAACAAAGTTGGCTATTTCATGAGACTTTAGTATTTCTCATTTATCAGTTCCATTCTCCCAGGCCCTTCCACCTCCAAATCGATGACATTACATCTTCATTTCTCACTAACCCATGTGAAATTTAAAATTTACTTTCGTCATGAATGTAGTCAACAAACTGTGGAAGCAGAGTCATTACCTTTGACTTACTATTTTAAAAATCATGAATTTTTACTTTTTATTTCAGTTGTAAATAGCATGAAATATAAAATACTAATGTCACAATTTCTAGGTTAGACCTGATTATTGTGGGGCATAAATTAATTAGATATTACTAAGATATTTAGAATAAGTGTCACAATTTTGCTTTTTTGAAAATTTGATTTCTAACATATGTGGATTCCTTTGTGATCTTACAGTGGGCTGTGATGACGCTGGGTCAAAGTGAATTAAAACACTAGCTGCAGCCCAAACCCTGCTCTAATGCCCAGACGCTATCAGAAGGCAGAACAAGGGAACTGCAGGAATTTTGGAAGTGGAAGTTTTTACCGCAGAAGGACTGAGTTAACCAAAAAACACTGGAAACCATAATAAAGTAAGGTAGGCTTAACAGATTTAGGGGATTTCTAACCCCTCCTCTATTTCTGCATTCCTGCCTGACTTCTCTTTCAGTGGACAAGGGACCTTTTTTTGTTTGATTTAGCTTAATCACAGAAAATAAGGTGTCCTTACTCCTCTGCAATACCTGAAACAATAGGATCTGCATTTTAACTCTGCCAGAGTTAAATGAACTGGACTAGAACCAAGTAATAGTGCACATTACATGGAGTTTAGAAGACTGACCTACCTGCCAGGCTGAAACTGCACAGTAGAGGGAGCACCCACAGGGCCAAGGTCTGCATTGTTCCGGAATTCACACCCAGAGGCTGGAGACAGCTCAAAATGTCATCAGTCAAGTGAGAAGTTGCTTCCTGTCTCTCTAACAGTAATACTTCAGAGACAGATTCTAGGCATTTGGGCAAGAAGGAGAGTTTTGTTTCCAACCTATTCATCCTCCATTCCATTCCATCCCATCGCCCATTCCATCTTCTATCCCATCCCATTCCATCCCCTACCCCATCCCATCTGCTGTCTGTTACAACACAGATCTTTTCATAATTATTACATCAACCCAGTCCCCATTTTTAAAATGCACACTGGCAACAGGTTTTCCTTTTGTCCACAATGCACACCACTCTACAATACCCAAAGTAAATGATCACCAAGAACAGGCCTGAGGCAGACAGAAGGTAACTACGAATTGGTACAGACTGAAGGCCAGCTTCTAGCCTTGTCCTCAGTTACTGAGCTCTGGACCAAATGCAATAACCCAAAGCTTCCCAGAAATTCTATTCTATTTCATGTCTCCAAACTGTGTGTGTGCCTACCAGGGCCCTTTCCCCTTGAAAGATTATGTATATACTCTGCTTTTGTACCTAGTTCTTGGCTTGTAACTCCTTTCCCAAGGCAGACCATAGAAACTAAAATTTCTCTTTCCTGAGATGAGCCGTAGAGACGCTAAGAGAAATTCTGATTTCCTCCTTCTTTCCTTCCTTGCTGTCTTTGCTGAGACAGGATTTCACACTGTAACTAAAGTTAGCCAACAGCTTTATGTGGCCAAGACTGACCTCGGACTCACAGCAGCAATCTTCTTGTCCCAGTTACCCTAAGTGCTAGGATTCCAGGCATGAGTAACCAAGCCAGTTTCTCCTGCATCTCTAGCTGGCTACTGGGCATACACAAACCCTCTGACCTCCCTGTCCTTCTGTAGGATCAAGAGTCATACAACTCTTGTCTTTCTAGAGGGAGCCCACTCCATTCCCTAGAGGAAGAAAGGCTTCACACACAAACTTGCTGTTTTTTCCCACCCAACCTACTAGCAACCAAGCCTATACAATGGGGAGAACCCAAAGGACATGGCTCCAGAAGCCCTGAGACAAACGAAGATTAAGATGAAGCAGAGGCTGCTGGAGATGTGTGGAAGCTCCACGCCTAATCCCCACACCTCCTCCTGTGCATCTCTTTATCTGTATGTTTTCTAATAACCTTTCATAATAACCTGATAAGCCTGCTTCTCTGAGTTCAGTGAGCTGTTCAAAGAAAGTAGCCGAATTCAAAGAGGAAGTCACAACAACAATTTCTAGTCAGTTGGTCCAAAAGCACAAATAAAACCACCCAAGGCTAGCAGCTGCATTTTTGGGGAGGGAGTCTTGGGAGTTTGTGTTTCAACCTGGGGGGTCTGATGTTATCTCCAGGAAGATGGTATCAGAACTGAATCACATTAGAGGACATCTCTCTGGCATCTGGTGCCAAAGAATCAATTGTTTGCTATGTAAAACTCTCCACCCATCTGCTACTAGAGGTTTCTGTGATGACTGTGGTGTAGCAGCAGAAGAAAGGAAGGCATTCTGTTTTGCCTACCACATCCTTATCCCTTAGACTTGGGTAAAGACCGATCTATCCTAGGATGCCCTCTCTGTTTTGCCTACCACATCCTTATCCCTTAGACTTGGGTAGACTGATCTATCCTAGGATGCCCTCCCTGAACACCCACCCACTAAACCTTCCTTTAAACTTCATCCACTGAGTTGCATGAGTGGTTCTCAGAACATACTTGGCTGGCGTACCCACTTCCTGGTAGTTTGTAAGAATGAAGCCTACTCAGTGCAGTGCCTGCTATATGGTAGATATCCAGTACTGCTTATGTAGCACAGTTGATTATAAGGAATAAAACAAATGCTAGCTCAGGGCTAGGAAACTCGAAAGATGAGGTAATGTAAAAGCATAACTCATTCCAAGAAGAAATAAACAATGCTACATTTTCCTGTGACAGATCATGGGATCTGTGGCATGGGGACGGTGCTAAACAAAACAAACAAACAAAACAAAACATTAAATTTCCAGAGAAAGCTACAGGAATAAAATTCTCTAACTCGTAAAATGACCAAAATGCCTGCTAGATGAAAATACCTGACTGATCCAAATGAGAGCCTGGACCTACAGGAATCAAAAAGGTCAGGAGTGGTGACACATGCCTGCAATCCCAGCACTTAAGGAGGCTGAGGTCCAGGTTCAATTGTGAATTCAACACCATCCTACTCAACTTAATAAATTGGAGGGCAGTTTAAAAACAAGTTCAATTCCTAAAACTGAGAAAACAGTGAGAAGAATGGAAAGGTTATGGATGAAAGAGTGGAGTGCTGGTTGTAGAACAGCAACAGTTAATGCCTAATGCTACTCTAGAGAATTTCTACACTTGACAAGTAGCCGCTTGGATATAAATGAGTATAGAACACCAAGGGAAACATTTAATTTCCCAATGAAGAATAGATAAGTTTTTAAAAATGTATCATGTGGACCAGCAAGATGGCTTAATGGGTAAAGACATCTGGTGCCAAACCTGACTATCCTAGTTCAGTCCCCACGCTCCACATAGAAGAGAATTAACCCCTGCAAGCTGTCCTCTGACCTCCAAAGGTACACTGTGATATGCACACACACAAATGTAATACTTTTTCATGATAAAAAACATAAAAACAAAAATAATCATTGCACAATAAAATTCTTCTGCTACTCATTATTAGAAATTCATGTTAATCTGTTTCTAGTTTTAGGAGAAAATGTGTCTTTTAGTCTTCACTCCCACTTTATTTACATTTTCAAAAGGCATTATTAAAAGGGGAGGGAGGTTCAGATATGGAAATTCCATAAAACAGATGATATCAGTCCAATAACTGAACCAATGCATAATTATCTATATAATAAAACTAAAACTGTTACAAATAAGCTATTTTTCATTTCTAAACCTATGGCTATTTCATGCTAAATAGTTTAACATATGATATTTTTAATAAATACCAATCATCACTTCATTCCTTTATTGTGAAAACACTTACCTGCTATCTGTGAAAGTTTAAAAAGAAGCTCACGGCAATATCACAGTCAGGGACACAGCTGGAGAGCTCGCAGTTGGAGAGAGTGACTTTCTAGAAACTAGAGACACTGGCAGCTGGATTTTTTGGATTCATTCAGCATTGCACACAGAGAGAAGAGCCTAGCTCCCACTTCCAAGAGCTGGGTCGTGGCTTCTTAACAAGGGACAAAGATAGAGAGGACAGCCAGAGTAGTTACTTTTACAAGCTACTAATGCCAGAGTGAGCTGCTATTACTGATGGCTGTCATGCTGTAATTCCTTCAGTGAGTCTGAGCACAAAACTGATAAAAATCTTGGGTTTTCTTGTAGGGTGGGAGAACGATTGTAATCTTAAATATCCCATGTCGATGATAACTATGCAGGGAGGACACAGAGACCAACAAGCCCTGTCCTCAGGATGACGGCCCCCATTCTAATGTGTGTTTGTCACAGGGACTTTCCCACTTGTCATTCCTACTGTAAAGCACCATAACAGAAAGAATTGTCTGTGGGCTGGAAGTATTAATACATTAGTGGACTCTCCCAGTAGTTCAGAAACATACTCAGGGACTTCAAGCAGTAAATTCTGTGTATGGAGGCAATAGTGGTATGGGTGGTAGACACAATTGAAGAGTCTGAGTTCACTCAAAACTTCAGTCAAGGATCTGTATATCAATCATCTCAGAGAGAGAGAGATGGAGAATCCTCATAGTTGGATTGCAGGTGAAATATCCACATGAGAAAGCTACAGATCACCATGCTTTATTAAGCCAGTTAAGAATAAACTGAGTCCTCTAGCCAACTGACCAAGAGCAGGCTAATGTCCAGGAAGAACACTTGTTATTTTATGAGGAGCCGGCCTCCATCTGAATCCCCCTAATACCCTTCAGGTCCTAGTCCTGTAGTGGACAGTACACATCCCTATGAAAGAAACCCCATGTACTTTTATCCTCTACCAATAGACTCTGTCCTTATGCTTATTGCAATCCCTTCCTCTAGACCCTGGCCTTAGGCTCTCTTTCTCAGCCAACAGAATTAACTCTTACTGTAAGGGTCACTATGCCACAAGTTTAAACCACGAGGTCAGTCTCTGAGAGGCTCAGACTCAGTGCTTGCAAAGGCAGTACTGCCTAGAGTTTCAGTTTTCACTTCCTGTGAGTTATCCCTGTTTTCCACCCAGCCCCACAAAGGCAGTGAGGCTTCACTGATGATTTAAGAGAAGTGACTCACTACTTAAGAGTAGTTGCTGTACAAGCATGAGGACCTGAGTTCAAATCCCCAGAACCTATGTAAAAAACCAAGCATAGTCACACTTGTGCCTGTAAGCCCCAGCTCTGGAGTGGATGGATGACCACTAGGATTTGGGGCTGCCAACCCAGCTCCAGGTTAAATGAGAAACCTTTTCTCAAGGGAATGTGGCAGCCAGTGTTAAGCAGGGTGTCTCTCACTCTTTTAGATGCTGTTTTTGACCATAAAATAATAATGGTCTCAGCTTTATACAGCACTTACACAGGTATTTTTACTTAGGTCCTTGAAGTAAATAGATAACTTATTTGTTTCATATCTATTTCCATGTTTATAATTGTGTAAAATATATTTTATCTATTATATTTTAGGTTAAGTTATATAAAATTGCTATTTTTGTAACTCAAACTCAGTCAAATACTAGCAATTTAAACTTAAAAAGTAATAATCCTCTTACTTTTTATATGAGGATATCGAGTGCTTTCCCAGGATAGAATTAAGAGATGTCAGATATCTGCCTTCAGTCCTAAAGTCAGTGAGTCCATTTGGGAAGTGAGCAGTTCCAAGCAAGAATCCTCTAAATGGCTAGCACCTAGACTGGCAATAACAAAACCGCAATGTACCAGTAAGAGCCCACTGGGTGTTAATTACATTGCATAGATTGTACCTTCATCTACAAATCCCTGTAGAGCTGGCATTGTCTCCACTTCACAGATACACAAATTGAACACCAGAGATAAACATTTTTGAAATGTTTACAGAAGAAAAATACAGTCTGTGAAGGACAAAAACAAATCCAAGCT